GGCCTAGCAGAGGTGCTCTTCGCTCCTCACCAGGAGCGTGGGTTGGCTGCATCCCCTGCCAAGAGCTGTGGGCAGAGGCAGAGGGCAGGACCCGCCTTCCTTCCCCTCAGTGAGGTGCGGCGTCTGATCCAGTCATGGAGGCACTGGCACACCTCAGAGCTGCAGGCCCCCTACACCCTGGGACCGGGACGGCAGTGGTGGCTGGACAGCTGTCTGGACCTGCTCCTCACACGCCAGGTCCTGGCACTGGCTTTGGGAAGTCTGTGCCTCCATATTGACCCTCAGTGCCCTACTCCATCTCCCCATCCATCACACTGAGGCTTTAGGGGAGCTCAGAATCGATTGAAAAATAAGACCCAGGAGACAGAGAGCTGGTGGTCAAAGGTCATCTTTCCTACCAATGAAGTGACTGGAGTGTGTGGCTTTATGATTGCAGCCAGACGCCTTAGCAGCTCTTCAGCTCTGGTTGAGACAAGCTTACCTTCCTCTCCAAGAACTGCCTCACTAAACTCACTGCATGGCGGGGAACAGGGAGTGTGACCTCCTGAGCACAGGCTGGCCCTGAAGGGAGGGAGGAAGGTCCGCTTGCCAAATGGACAGGAGGAACAGTGGGTAAGGAAGGTGGGAGAAGCCGGGGTGTTCCTTCTAGATGTCCCTGCAGGGAAGTAGGAGGCCAGGACAGAGGAGGCTCGGTCCTGACACTGCACAGACCAATGGAGCTGCAGCACCAGGACATTCTTCCCGTCTAAGCCCCACATTTTGTGCAGATGGCCCAGAGAGGGTGAGTGAGTTAACCAGGATCACATAGCATTTTGTCACAGGGGCAAGCTGGGCCCAGACTCCCAGGCCAGGGCACCTCGTGTGACATCACTCTTTTCTCTGACCGGTACCATTCTGGGTTCAGGATCCCCCTTTCTCAGGCTGCAGTGGATGTAACTGATCACTGCCCACCTGTAGCAGCAAATTGTCTATATGGGGCAGTTTTTATGGCCAGTTCATTTCCACCACCTCCTCCCCTCCAATTTTCTGCAACTCATGCTCCGTGTTACATTGATGGGGCTGCCTAATTCATCGACCTCAACAAGCATTTCCAGCCTATTCCCAGAATTTCCTGCTCTGCTGGGCACAAGGTAGAGTAAGAAGAGGAGAAGACTGGGAGGGACTGAGACCCAGTTCTCAGGGTAGAGTCTGGTGAGGAATCGAGACACCTGTATGAAGAGACAGGACCGTGGGTGGATTAATTCCTGTTGGATTTGGTCAGAGCCTCTGACCCTTTGAGCCCCAGGACTCTCCCTAACCTCCGGGCTTGTGGGAATTTCTACTGCTCAGCCTTCCTGTCCCCCTGTAGCCAACCCTGTCCTAGAATTACCACCACTGGGGACCCTGTCACCAGTCCCATCCTGGGGTCCGGGGCACCACCCTTTGGCCCACCCTCGCTGGTGCAGTCCCTTCTGTTCCAGCATGCGCAGGAGTCCGCAGGCCGTGCCGCACGTCGCCCACAGCCTGTGAGGAGACGGCCAGTGGGGCTGGCAGGAGGCAGCAGACAGTTACTTCCCACTTCCACAGCCACCAGGCAGCGGCAACCCCGAGTTCCTGGGCCATGTCTCGCAGGGGAGTCTGGGCCTCATCCCTCCAGCCAGCAGGCCAGGCCCTGCTGTCCACTCTGGGTCCTGCTGTCTCGGCCCATTCCATCTGAACTCTTAGTAGTCCCGGCTTGAAATCCAGTGGACGCCTGTCTTTGCCTTGTAGTTCCGGAACTATGTTCTCCTCCCATGACCCCCCACCATGTGATCTTGGGACCCCCAACATTTTGGCTTGGACTTTGGACATCATTCTCTTGATGTGTCCCTTGAATGCCACCTCCTGCCTCCCTGTAGCCCAGTTTGCTTCCTTGCCTGCCCTCTTCCTCCCCTGCCCTCACTCAGTCGACCAGCTTTCATCACCCAGCCCTGATCCTCCTCTCTGCTCCCAGCCCCTTGGGCCAGAACTGGATATCAGCATCAGACATCAGCCAGAGCCCCCTTAGGTCCTCCTGTAGAGCGGCCCCCGGGTGGAGTGGCTGAGTCCTAGCGCCTGGCGTGGCTGTGGCTGGACGCCCCAGCTGGGAGCCCTGGGCCGGGGCCAGGATGGGTAGAGGTCACCGTCATCCTTCCAACAGTGACATCTCGTTACAGGAATGGCTTGAGGCTCCCAAGTCCACATCCTCTCTTTTCTGCAGGAACAGGCAGGCAGCTGCACCTCTGAGCCCTGATTGCCTCCAGCGGTGATTAACTGCCAGAAAATAATGTGCCCTGAGGTCGTTGCCGCTTAAACAGCTGGCTCCGTCTTTTCCTGTTTGGCCTGGTTGTTCTGAGCTCCCTGACCCTCCCACGGCCCGCCTGCAGCTGTAATCCTCTCACACGAAGCCCAGCTGGGAGCCCCGGCCAGGCTCTTCTCCCTGTGGCTCACCCTTGGCAGCATCTCGCTTCTCCTCTTCTCTTGTACTGTTGCCACGCTGCTCTGAGATAGGCTAGGACCTCTACCCCGTCCCCTCCTGCCTGGACACCGGGCCTCGATTTTCCGACTCTGTGCAGAATGGCGGAGGAGACAGAGGAGGAAAGCTTCCGCAAAGCTCCCTTCTTTGTGGCAGAATCAGTTCTCTGGAGAAATTCTGAAAGTCCGTTTGTATAAAGTTCTTCAAACTTCCTTTGAGGATGGCGCCAGTGGGTGCCGAGCTGCCCCACCTCGTGTGCACCAGTGAATCTGCCCCAGAAACTAGATCTGGGGCTCTCTTGCCCCCGCACAGTGTAAGTCCGTCTGAAGACTCAATTTCTACTTAATCACCATCATGTCACAATGAGAAATATTTCTGCAGGTTTCCTGCAGAGCCTCTCATTAAGGAAAGTATTGGTTTGGTTCAGAGAGTACTGTGCTGATCCAGCTTCATTTTGGATCTATAGTTTTAAAAAATATCCAACTTTGCTTCTAATTCAAACTGTTCCATTAAAAAATTAAAGAAAAAACAATTTGGTAGATGGGGTGGGAGGGAGACGAATGTTTGAGTCCTGTGCTGTGCTTACCAAACGGCTTCCTTCTCTGTTTTGGGTCCAGTTTGGCGTATTTGGAAATGGCACGGTTCTCACGGGGGGGATCTGGGGGCAGAAGCTACAAGAGCCTTCTTTGGAATTCCCATCACTGGTTTCTGTCACACCAAGACTCAGGTGGTCGCTTCTGGAAGGACTGGGGGCTGCCTGAGTGCAGGGGCAGGTCAGTCACAAAGGTGCGGGCTGGAGGCCTGGGAGGAGCTGGGGTGGGGTCGGGTCAGTTCACACCGAGATGCACAGGGACTGTGAAGACGGAACAAGACGCAGGTCAGAGCAGGAGGGCAAATGAGGTGCCAAGTAAACACCGGCCCCGGGATCGGGACAAGCGTGAGACCCGAGAGTCAGGTGAGGCTCAGAAAGAAGCACAGCAGTGAGGTCACGTCAGGCACTCCTGGCTCAGGGAGGGCTTTGTGGAGGCTCCGCCCGAGCCAAGACTTGATGGCTAACAGCTGCGCAACACCGCTGTGGTCGGGCAGTGACTCCTAGGCAGGGGCGCGGAGGGATCGAAGATGCGGGGCCTGAGGCTCCGCTGTGCACGCGGCACTGTGTGCACACACACGGGGAGGGTTGTGCAGACCGTTCCCGGACTCGGAGATAAGATTAGACTGAGTGAGTAAGGGGGGCGGCAGGGCAGACTAGGGGTTCACGACGCCGTGAACCAGCACAGGCATGGAGGGGCGGGGCGGAGAGGGGCAGGGTGAGCGGGCAGAAGCCACTGCTGCCCCGCTGCTAGCAGGGCCCTTACGGAGGAGGCAGCCTGCCCAGGAGAGGCCACCTGGAGCACACCTGGCCTGCCTGTTGGCACTGGGGGCTGGGGACTGAGTGGGGGCCAATAAGAGATTCTCAAGGGCCTGGAGAGGGGTTCCCTGGCTTTCTCTCTTGTCTCTCCATCAGCACCCTCTCATTCCTCTCCTGACACCCGTACCCTCCTAACCTGCTGAATCCACCCTGAGTGAGCATAGCAGGCCCATCCAGCTGCCATGGCTGTTCGGGGGGTCCATAGCGCTCGGCAGTCAGGGCAGGGCGTTCTGCAGCTGGAATCCCTGGGTTCAGTTCCGGGCTCAGCCACGTTCTTGCCATGGGACCTCGGACAAGCTGCTTAGCCTCTCCACGCACATGTGGTCATGGATACAGGGAGGACGACGCTGGCGCTCACATGGCAATGAGATGAGTAATGCTGTGCTCATCTCCAAGGGGCATGGGGGCAGTCATGGGACATGCTCACAAGAGTGGCTGGCACCGGGGGAGAGCTGACAAACATCGGCCCTTACCATTACAGACCGCCTGCTGTGTGTGCCTGGGACCTCTCAGGTGAATAAGGCACCGCCTCCCCCCAAGGGAGGGTTAATGTGTTTTTGGATGGAAGGGCTCCCTCTCCACTGCTCCCACTAGAGAAAAGCTGCATTTGCTCTGCTCTTGAGATGCCAGGCCAACACGCCTGAGGTGGGTGCTGGCCTCCTAAGCCATACACAGGAATTCTGGGGGCCCCTCCAGAGAATGGTGGGCTCTGTGGTAGAACATGCCCCAGCCCCGCATGGTTAGCCAGGAGAATCGGATAGCGTGGGGGCCAGTAAATACTGACTTATGTAGAAATATGACTCCTCAAATTACACACAGGGTATCGAAGAATTTTTACTGACTTTTGTTTAATAATTCAAAACCGACACCAAACCAAATTTAAAGAAGGCAAAAGGTAGCTCCAGAACCTTCTTCAGGCTTCCTAGAGTCCACCTGTTATACAAACAGGGAAGGCTTATGGAGGCCAGGATTAAGCTGGTGTTGGAGGACCGGCAGGCACTGGAATTCCAGGCAGGGAAACCATGGGGGCAAAGGCGTGGAGGCTGGGAGGCTGGGCCTCCATGTAGGGAGCTGTACGAGGAAAGGAAAGAACACTGCCCACATTTGCACAGCCAACGTGTCCCCCAGGAGTGCTGAGATGATTTGGCAGGACTGAGGGAGGCGAAGAAGGCTTGGCAAAGTGAAGGCAGAACGGCAGAGGTGAGGCATTTTTAGAGCTCATGGCCTCACGTGGCAATGCCCCGCTAGCCAGGCCCCGTTGCCCAGGATCCAGCCGGGCAGCTCCAGAGGCAGGGCTGCCAGGACCCTCAGTGCAGGAGGATCTCAGTGAGCATGACCTGCCTCCCAGGGCCTGTCACAGGAGCGTGACTCAGGGCCTCCCCCGCCCAGGTGAGTCACACACCTGCAGCCTTCCCTCTGCCAAAGCTGCTGCCTGGAGCCGTGCCCCGCCCCCCGCCCCCGCCGAGGACACAGCCCATCCGATCCCTGGCACCCCACCCTCGGTCCCCCCAAAGCCCCAGCCTGGCCCTGCTTCCTTCCCAGGGCATCCTTACAGCTGGAGTTCCTCGGCAGGACAGGCATCTCCACCCACTCCACGGCCTCTTCTCAGGGGTGCCTGCTTTTCCCACCCTCGAGACAACGCCATCAGGTTGGACAGCCTGTGTGATGCCTCGAACACTCTTGAGGGACTGGCATGTACTAATTTCGCCTGCCTTTAAATCAGGGGTGTGGTTCAGTTGCCCCCCCTTCCCATCATCCCTCGTCCCCAGCCCGGCTTCAGTAGCAACTGTAGCGGTGACTTCCTGGCGCAGCAGCAGGACACAGCCACGTCTTCAGGACTGCCATCTGTCCGTGCGTGACTCGCAGCTGACAGCAGTGGGAGAGCGAGAAGCTACTCCTGCCCCCACAGAAGAAAGGTGGCAAAGTCCTGCCTTCCTAGCTGGCAGTGGCCTGTGCCCTCCCATTCAGTGACAGGCACGCCTCACCTCTTCCTCCCATGCCACAGAGGGCGCACCGAGGGTTCCTGGGGAGGGAGCGGCAGTCCCTGCCCGCAGGGTCCTGTGGCAGGAGGAGAGCCGCCCTCAGAGCAGCACAGCGGGGCCGTGGCGCCAGCAAGAAGGGCAGCTGTGTCAGAGAGGAGCTGCCAGCCAGGCACATCCGCAGGGCCCTGTGGTGCATGTGTCAGGGAGGGACAGCCATGCACTGTCTGATGGCCGGGCAGCTCCCAGGAGGGCAGCCACCTGGCAGGGCGGCTGAGCCTGCCACCGGCTGACGAATCCCCTCACCCCCGTGAGCTCTGGGAGCAGGAGGCAGGCAGATGGCTAGGAGGCATGATGCTCCTCCCTTTGGGTCCTCTCAACCCCCCGGGGGGGCGGGGCAGGCGACGGTCCCTTATCCCCAGCCACTGGCTCGGCCCACAGGCGTGGCCACCGCCTTGTGTGTTGTGTCCTGCACAAGGGACAGGGAGGGCTGAAGTCCAGCTCGCCCAGCTTGCCAAGCCGCATCTTTCTTATTGGAGCGCATTTTTCTAATTCGCACCAAGATGCCAGTGTCTGCCCATCCAGAGCCAAGAAGGGTCAGAGCCTGGCCTCGAACCAAGGTCGGCTGACGTTCCACCAGCGTTCTTCAGGTCTGAGGGCCCATCCACAGACCTCTTGTCAGCCTCCAGCCTCGGCTCACATACCGTTCAGTACCTTCCATAGACCCAGGCACCTGGGGCCTCGCCTGGGGCCCCACATGGCCCGCCTTCATCCAAACCCCTCCCCATGGCATGAAGGGTCCATGGGACCCAGGGATCTCGTGGAATCTGCAACTCCCTTCCCCACTTCTACAGCTCATCCCAGGTGCCCAGGAGCTTGGAACGCCCTGTGCAGACAGCCCGAGCCTCCATCCAGAGCCTGCACAGCTGTCCTGAGGCTGGTGGGTGCCCCACACTCCACCACATCCAGCCCTCTTCTTGTCCAAGGGGTGAGGGGAGGAGAGAGCTTGGCCGTGCGGCTGGAGGCCTCTCCTGGTGCAGCACAGAGCCCGGGGTGGGAAGGGAAGGTGAGGAGCGGCACCTCCCTCTGTACTCTTTCTCAGGCCCCACAGTGATAGGGGCGGGCCTGCCACCATCATTCGGAGCCCGGGAAGCCTCCCTGCAGGCCTGGCAGTGTGGCCAGCTCCGATGCTGGGAGATGATAAAATGGCTGGGGAGGTGGGAGTAGGCGATTCACTCAACTTGAAAGGAAGCTTGGCTGTTGGGTGGGAAGCTCTTTCCCCATGAAAAGAACTGTCCTCTCCCCCTGTGTTTCTGAAGCTCTGCCCATGCCAGGCCCCTGCTGGGCTCCGTGAGATGATGGTCGGGCATGGCCTGCAGGCCGGGATCAGCATCGCCTCTGAACCGCCAATAGCCCCTGCCCTCCCTGCCAGCCCACTCGTCAGCCCTCCCGAGCCCCTGCCAGCTGTCTCCTTCCTGCTCACGTTCTTGCCCAGCTCGACGAGCACTGGAGAGTCTGGTTTCACCCGTAGGCTGGGCCTTCCCTGGAATCCAGAGAGCGAGTGGCATGGGCTGCTGCCCTGCTGTGGCCAGGTGGACAGTGCCTAGCGGGGAAGGAGGCTCACCCACCGGTGCTCCGAGCAGGGGCCGAGCTTCCCCAGAGGGGGCTAGTTTCAGGCAACAGCACCCCTCCTCCTTCCTCCTCTCCCTCTTTTCCCTCTTCCCTGTGAAGCCTGGAGCCTTCAGCTCCCTGGACCCTCCCAGCCACCTGGGTCTGACGTGCCTTTCTGACCTTTGGCTCCTGCAGGAGCACATGGGGTCAGCAGTGTCCTGGAGCTTCCTGACTGTAAAGCTGGAAAGATGTGGCTGGCGTGTGGGGGATGCAGGCTGCTCCTCCCTCTGGTCCCCACAGAGTGCACTGCCAGGACACCAGCCCCCAGCAGCAGGGCTGTGCGGTGTGCAGAGTGAGCCAGCAGGAGGCCAGGCAGGGGTGGGGGCGTTTAGAAGCCCCTGCAGGGCCATGAAGGGTGGAAGATGACACACCAGCTCCCTTGCCAGGTCTCCACCTTTGCTTTCTCTGAGCCTTGGTTGCCGCTGCCCAGGCGGACACCACACCCCAGCCACATGTACTCTCCCCACTCCCTGAACCCAAATGCACCGTGCTCTCTGCGCTCTCCGGTCTTCGCCTGTGCTCTCTCCTCTCCCTGGTATGCGCTTCCCTCCTTCTTCACCTGGCAAATGCCTACTCATCGTTAAGATGCCATGCAGGGGTCACCTCCTCCAGGAAGAATTCTCTGACTGCCCTCCCCCACTGGGAGCCTCCCACAGTTTATGGCGCTTGCCCTGTAGTAGCATTTATAATGCAGCACTGTAACCACTTACTTATCTGTCCACCTCCCCCTCCACTAACTTTGAGGGCAATTGCTGTCTTACTTACGATACTTGGCATGTAGTAGGTATTTCCTCAATATTGGGTGGGTGCATGGCTTAAGGAGCTGACAGCAGACCAGTGAGTGAAGGGGTAGTAGGGAACTCTGGGCCAGCAACCAGGAGACGGGGTACGCCCGGAGCAGCTGGGAAGAGGAGGAGGATGGTGTGGGTGATGAGGGTGCCTGACGGTTGCCCCCTCCCCCACCGCTTTGGGGAAACATTTGTCGTAGAGGTCCTGAAGCGCTGTCTGCCTCCCCAGGCCTGATCCCGGTGGTGACGGTCTTCTCTCCTTGCTCCTAGTATTTCTGCCTGTTGCTGGTGATCTTCCTCGTTGAGCTGGTGGCGGGGGTCCTGGCCCACATGTACTACCAGAGGGTGAGTGGAAGTGTCCTCCTTCTGCATGACCACCAGTGCCCCCAGGGGCAGCAGCATGGGGGCGGGGTAATAGTGAGGGCAGCTGAGGCAGCGACACAGGGGCAGTCCTGTCCCCCAGGCCCCAGGATCCTCGGCACATCTGGGTCCTGCTTCTTGTCCTGGGTCCCGCACTCTCTGCTCCATCTGTTGGTGCTGATGTCTTCACCGTGGGAGGCGGGGAGTGGGAGCTTCCCGTGGGAAGGGGGGTGGTCCCTCTCCCCTTCCAGGAAGAGGTGGAGGAGGAGTTTGGCTGTCCGGCCTCCCAGGAGAAAGGCTTGGGCCAGGCTACATGCCAGACCGTGAAGACAGCGCCGGGCCTTGCCTGCTGCACTGGACACGGACGAAGGCCAGTCAGTTCCCTTCCCACCGGTGCTCTGTGAATCAGGCGTTCGAGGTCATGAGCAGGCTGATATTCAGCTAGTAGAGACAGATGACCTTGAACCCCTGACCGTGCTGGTTGTTTCAAGCCAGCGCCCATACGACCAGTGTAACAATTGTAAATATTCCGAATATCACCTCATAATCAAAATGAAAATCAACAGATATTCGAAAGCCAGCCTGTGCCTGCCTCACTGTTGCCTTGCACCAGCTGTGAGCTGGCGCCCCCGCCTGTCTCTCAGCTGTGCCATCGCCTCTGCGCTGTGTCGGGCCCCAGCTTTTGCAGCATCCTCTCTGTGAACTCCGTGTCCTGTGCAGTCTCCTGCCGGCGCTCCCGTTACACTGTTTGGGGGCCTCTGCCGCCACTCCACTTGCAAGTCCCTGGTGTTTGAGGGTCGCTGGTGCGGCTTGGGAGAGGCTGGGGCCGGGATCAGTAGGTGGTCTGCTGATGCCGCCTCCCTCTCACCCTCCTCAGCTGAGCGATGAACTGAAGCAGCACTTGACCCAGACTTTGTCTGAGAACTACGGGCAGCCCGGAGCTGCGGGGATCACAACTTCGGTGGACCGTCTACAGCAGGATGTAAGCCCCCGCCCTGGGGGCTTGAAGGCCACACAGACATGGGTTCAAATCCTGACTCTGTCCCTTCCTGTCTCTGTGACCCTGGGCAAGTTACTTACCTTCTCTGAGCTTCATTTGCCACATCTCTAAGGTGAAGCCTCATAGGCTGTGTGAAGCCCGCCCTCGGGGTCTAGTGGTTAAGATTCCGCACTCTCACCGCCGCAGCCTGGGCTCCTTTCCCTGTCAGGGAACCACACCACCCATCTATCAGTTGTCATACCGTGGCGGCTGCAGTGTTGCTGTGATGCTGAAAGCTATGCCACCGGTATTTGACATACCAGCAGGGTCACTCATGGTGACTCAGGTCTCCGTGGAGCTTCCACACTAAGACAGACTAGGAAGAAGGACCTGGCCACCCACTTCTGAAAAAATTAGCCATGAAAACCCTGTGAATAGCAGCAGAGCATTGTCTGATAAAGCACCGGGAGGTGAGAGGATGGTGCACAAAGACCGGGCAGGGCTCTGCTCTGCTGTTCACAGGGTCGCTAGATCAACTCTTTGGCACTAAGAGCAAGGATGTGTGAGCATTAGGTATGAGCACGTATGTATAAGGCCCCACCCACCGTGAAAAGTGCCTACTGACTCCTGGTTCTTTCCTTCCCCTCCTCTGCCCTCGCCTCCACCATGGGTCCCCCTGACTACCTCCTCCAAACCACCCCCCTGCGGCCTCCCCCCTGGGTCCCCCGTGGGCAGGCAGCTGGCTGCGCCAAGAGAAGAACTCCATCTCCTGGTGGAACCCGGGATCCGTCCATCAGCAGGGCTGCCTTCTTCCCCTTGGGGAGCTGACAGCCCAGGCCCCATGAGATGAACCCTAACAGGCAGAGGCATTTCAGTTAAGGCGCGGCAAGGACTTCCCGGTTGTGAGCCATCAGGCAGAATGCCAGGGGACAGAAAGGTGGTCTCCTTTCTAAGAGGAGAGTCAGCAGATTCCTCCAGTGAGGCCCGCAGTCCTGCAGAGGGCGGGGAGGGGCAAATGGACCTCAGACCTGCGCTATCTGATGTGGTAGCCACTAGCCACGTGTGGCTGTTTAGATCTAAACAAAACATAAAATTCCATTCCTCAGTCAGGCTAGCCACTGAAATGGCTAGTGGCCACCAAACTGGACAGCACAGCTATGGGGCATTTCCATCACTGCAGAGAGTGCTGTTGGACAGCACAGCTCCAGGATCCTGATGGTTCTCTGTCTGAAAACTTGAGGCAGCCCCACCTGCCCACTCTGGTGCCCCTTCTCCCTGCCACCACCACCCTGTGGGCTCTGCTCCATCCTGTATCTACAGAGCCCCCCGGGCCTGCGGCCTTGGTCTTGGAGTGGGAACACCAGGCAGGTAGATGGAGTAGAGGCTGGTGGGCTCTGACTTCTGGGGACAGCGCAGGTCAGCTGGGGAGACACCTTCCCCACCTCTCCAAGGCTGGCTCAGCTCCCAGTCAGCTCCGCACGGAGGGGTCTCTTGTCCTCTGATCCAGTGGCTGAGGGCACCCACGTACACGTGGTGCACACACTCACACCCACGTGCTTAGCCCACATGCACCCTGCTGGTCAGCCCTGTCCAAAGCTCAGTCCTGTCTTGTTGGGCCTCCCACGTGGGGAACTGTGCCCTCGGGCCTCACTCAGGAAGCCCGCCTCACAACAGGTGCTGCAGTCAGTGCTGGGCTGGGGGGCCCTCCGAGTGGAGAGCAGGGCTGGGGAGGCTGGACTCCCCTGGACTCCCCAGGACTGGAGGGGCCAAGGAGGAGGGTCTGGGTTTGCCTAGGTGGAGAGGATGGAAGGGGCGGGCCGGGAACAGGGAACAGCATGAGGAAGGGCACAGCTGGGAGCAAGTGCTGGGCCACTGCCACGGCCTCCATGGGCACCAGAGCACGTGGACACGGGCCCTCCCACATGCCAGGAACTGTTAGAACCAGAGGGGCATGAGGGACCTTGGGCCCAGGCCCACGTCTTAGGCATGAAGAAACCATGCCCCAGGAAGGCAGTGGCTTCAAGCCAGGCCAGCATCTGGGCTCCAGGCCACACCCCGCATACGTAAAGGACACCCATGTGCCCATGTCCACACAGTCCTGATAGCTGTAGCAGGTGTCTCTTACTAACCGCTTCCTCTGTGCTGGGCTCCCTTCTCAGTGCTTCCCGTGACTCGCCCCTCGCAATCCTCACAACAACCCGGTGTGGAGGGACTTTGTTGTCCCCATTTCACAAGTGACAAAACTGAGGCCCAGAGAGGCTAAATTACCTGTCCAGGTGACACACATGCGCAGAGACACAGACGCACAGTCCCACGTGACTCCTAGCACAGCCATGCTGTTCCCAGCTCTATGTGCTGTTCCGTTCTGCCTGACTCCCCGGGGCTGCTCCTCTTCCTTGTGGGACTCTTCCTGGCCCGGGAGCAGAGCCATCAGCCCCTTCCTTCTCTGTGCCCCATGCGAGCCCCTGTTGTCTCTACCAGATGACAGGAAATGAGAAGCTACGGAAGGGCAGGAACCACACTACTCACTTGAGCCCGGGGCCTGCCTCACTCCTGGCACAGCGCAGGTGCTCACAAACACTTGTTAACCGGACCGAGTGTACCTCTCGCACCCCTGCACCCCCGAGACAGCCTCAAAACGGCCTGTTCTGTGGCCCGGATAGGACCACAACTCAGAGGGGCAAGAAAGAACCACTCTCCTGTTGTGTTTGGCTCTCCTTAGACCTGGGCTGGCGCTTCTCTGCCCTGGAGCGGGGCCAGAGCCCCTGGGTCTGTTCAGCACTCACGCCGGCCCCTCTGGGCAACGTCGACCTGCCCGCACCATGGCCTCTGGGAGGCCACGCGAAGGACACACCCTCTGTGTCCCTGCAGGTCTGGGGCTCTGAGGGTGCCCCCAGGACACCAGCATAATCTCCCTAAAGGACTTGGGTGGATAGGAAGGGTAGCCAACAGGTGTCCTTCTGGCAACTTCTACCCCAGCCTGAAGAGAAGGGCCCCCAAGAGAGGAGCTCACTGCTCAGAACAGGGAAGGGGAGAATCACAGGGAGAAGGCAAGGGGTGGGGTGATATCTGAATAATGTGTCCTGCAGCCCGTAACCGAGGGGCTGCAGGAGCTCCGGGCACGCCCCCCACCTCCCTCCTCTGCCTCTCCCTCCAGTTCAAGTGCTGCGGAAGCAACAGCTCGGCCGACTGGCAGCACAGCGCGTACATCCTGTCGCGGGAGGCCGAGGGCCGCCGCGTGCCCGACAGCTGCTGCAAGACCGTGGTGGAGCGCTGTGGGCAGCGGGCCCACCCCTCCAACATCTACAAGGTGGAGGTGAGCGCCCGAGCTCCAGCTGGGGCATGCAGAGGGCCCAGCGGCCATCCAGGAGTCCTGTAAAGGCAGGCTCAGGCAATGGGCGGGGGATGCAGAACACACTTAACTCATTGGCCGTGAGATACCAGGATGGGGGGGGCCTTCAAAGGTCTCCACAAAGCCCTGGGACAAGCAGCTGCTATGAGGAGATTCTAGGACATCATGGCGTGTCCCCAGGTCACCCAAGAAGCCAGAGCCTTTACGTCTCTGGCCTTCCCTCAGCTAGCTGGATGCAGCCCACAGCCAGCCCGTCCCTCCCCATCCTTGCCTGCCTTCAGGCCAACGTGTGTGTGACCTGCGTTACCTTTCAGGGAGGCTGTCTCACCAAGCTGGAGCACTTCCTGGCTGACCACCTGCTGCTCATGGGGGCGGTGGGCATTGGGGTGGCCTGCCTGCAGGTGAGTTGGAGTGGGGGATTTGGGAGGGTTGTCTAGAAGAGCTCCGAACTCCTCTCCCCTTGGCTGAGATCTCAAATCACTGACCCTTTGCACACCCATGCCCGCCCCGCCCTCTCCTCCTGACTCCTCTCTCCTTCCCTTTGCAGCCAAGGGTGAGACGTGGTCCCTCTCTTCCCCAGAAAACATGAAGGAAAATGCCCGGGGGCCTGGGGGACAACTTGAACTTGTGAGAGACCTGGGAGGAGTATGGGTGTGGGCTCAGGTATGTGCATGCACCCTGTGTGTGCACGTGGGGGTGTGTGTGCACAACCTGCTGTGGTACGTGTGGGTCCATGGGTGTGTCTGCATGCATCTGGGTGTACGTGGTCAGGGTTGTGTGCATGTTTATGTGTTAGGTGTACTTGTGCATGTGTGTATACATGTGTGCACGGACGTGCACTCATTCCTCTGTGTGTATGTTGGTGTATGTGGCCTGTGGATGTGTGGTCCCCTGTTTCACCACTCCACCCCTCCCTCGGCCACCATCCAGGGAGTCTGCATTACTCTCAAGGTCGCTGTAATCAAAAGTTGAGAGGGGAGGAGGCAGGAGGGGCCCCCTCAGGGGCTGGGGCAGCTATGGTGAGTGAGGGCCCTGCGTGCCCACCTCGACCGGCACTCTGCACTCCTGCTCTGGCCCAGCAGGTTCTGCAGGCAGCTCCATCCTGCCCTGCCCTTCCCACTCCCTGTACTACAAGCACCCTCTAGGGAAGGGGTGTGAGCAGGGGCCTCAGCCTCAGAGGACCTGGGTCCAGTGCTGCCTCTACTCCTGTGCAACCTGGGGCAGTTCCTTCCCTGCCCCTCAACTACTTCATCCGCAAAATGTGCATCATTTCTCCAACCGCGTGAGGGCTACCTAAGACTAAGGTGACGCGGGTGGCATGTACGAAGGCCTCCCTGAGTGGAAGCTATCTGTAGACTTCAGGGTGGTGTCAGATGCTTTCTCATGGGGTCCCCACCACAACCCCGGCCGGGCCAGTAGTGGCGTTCTCCCCATTTTACAGATCAGGAAGCTGAGACCCAGAGACGTGACTCACTGAGGTCTCACATCTTGAACTGATGCCCAGGTGTCCTGGCCCTCGGTCCGTTGCTTTCCCAAACTCCCTCTCCCATCACAGAGTTCTGTGAAAAGAGAAGCAGGGGGCGTGGTGGCAGCTGGCTTGGGGACCCCTCCAGTGTAGGGTCCTTCCAGGTCACTGTGCTGCCCACCCACATCAGTTGTGCCCCATAGGACCCAGCTGCTGGCTGGCGCACTGGCCCTACCCTCAGGAGGGGGACTGGGCAACTGGGGCTGGTTATTTCCTCTCCGAGGCTCAGTGCTTTGTTTGTAAAATGGGGCTAATTATACCTGGTTTGGTAACTTGTGAGGATTAGCAAGATAGATGTAAATCATTGGCTCATTGCTGAGCAGATCACAGGGGTTCAATAAACGGTGCCCGTCATTATTTTTATTTCTAGGCAGGCACATCGTCTCTCCAGAAAGCCCTAGTTGTTTCCTAGCCAGCCAGCTTGCCCCCTCCATCTGCATTCACGCACAGGCCCAGGAGCCCAGGAGGCATCGACATAGCCCCTCCCTTGCCCTTCCCCAGGGCACCTGCTGCCCGTATACTGAACCCCAGGGGAGTTGCCAGTGGGAACTGGGGAAGGGCTGCTCTGTGCTCTGGCTCCTAGCTCAACTGGGGTTTCCAGAAACCTGCCGTCTGCTTGGGGTGTTGAGGAGGCCTGCTCCGCATGGACACCGACCAGGCCTGGGCCACGTCTCCATCCATTGCCTCCTGACCTCTCTGGCCCTGAGAGCCTAAGGAAGCTGAGGACAAGGGCAGTGAGGCCAAGGGCCGGAGTGGGGCTACCAGCGCCCTGCGCCTGAGGTCCAGGTGGAACAACAAAGGCTGTAGGAGGAACGCCAAGGAGGCCAGGTCGTCAGGCGGGGCACCTGCAGGCCCCTGGACGCCTGCTCCCCGCTCACACCCACCATGGAAGTCTCAGTCCTCCGAAGCCCACTGGGGACTCGCTCCTCGTGTCCCTCAGAGAGAGCCTCACCGGCCTGGGCTGTGGACCCCAGTGCCCTGCCCAGTTTCTCCCCGCCAGTCCGTGAAGCCGGCCCTGCGGCAGCCAAGCCTCACGGTAGAGCGCCCTCTGCCGGCCAGTGCCGGAACTAATGCCCCAGTCCAGGCCGGCCGCCGGCGTTGAGGAAGAGAGGGCTCCCAGCAGGCCTGTGCCCAGGCTGGGTCGTCCTCTGACCCGGGCAGGCACCAGGCACCTCCCCCACACACGCTCAGCCTGGCGCTTCGAAGACCCCCACAGCTTAGGAGGTACAAGGCCAAGAGGGTGTCAGGTTTCCCTGGTCCCCATGAACTGCACAGAATCTTGTGCAAGTCAGAGGGCCCGGATTCTAGACACAGCCCCACATCTTCCTGTGTGATCTGAGCCTCAGTTTCCCTACCTGTAATGTGGAGGAGGTGGACATTTTCAAGCCTTTCTTTAAGCAGCAGCATTCTCTTATCAATGGAACTCTCACCCAGGAGCCCAGTATATTACCATGAAGGCCGAGCTGTTCTGACTGAAGCAGGAGTTGGGGCCTGGGACAAGCCTGGTGTGACAGGCCCCAGGAATCTTCTGGCTCTAAGGTTCTGTGGTTTTTTGGTGAGGATCTCGCCTCAGTGAGACTGATATGCTGTGAGACCCTGGAACATTAAAGCAGGTGTCCTGTGAAGACTCTGAACGCCAAGCAGAAAATGGGACAAACGTAACAAACCCTGACACCAGCCAGGTGTTTGGCAGCATGCCCCTTGCTGCCTCGTGGACGCATGGACCAGGCACCAAGATGCTTAGGAGAGGTCGTGGTGGGCTGGATGACAAGACCTGCACAGGGCCTCCGGGGCGGTGGTCCTCAACCTTGGCCACGCGTTGGGGTCACTTGGCGAGCCTTAAAACTGCCCAAGGCCCAGGCTACCCCCCCAGCACAATTAGATGACGTGTCTGGGGCTGGCAGCACGCCTGTAAAGCTCCCGGTGGGTCCACGTGTGGCCAGGCTGAGGAACACTGGCCCCGGGAGCAAAGGAGCCACAGGGGCCTAAAAGTCAGAGGTGGGAGCGGCGAGGAGCTGGGAGAAGACTGCGCCATCGCCGTCATTGAACACCCACAGGCAGTCGTGGGGGGGGGGGACACTCCTGGGAGGAGCCAGAGGACAGACAGGAACAGCGGGTGGAATTCACAAGGAGACAGACTGGAGAACTTTTCCACAGTTGGAATTATCCCAGGTGGTCCTGGGGAGCACTGAGCTCTCTGTGGTGCAGGTGGAGCAGAGATGGGGGCTGCAGGGACGCCGAAGGGAGGAGTCCTGCGCCCCACGGCTGCAGTCCCTTCTGCCCTGCGGTCGGGCATGCTGGAGGTGCATCTGTTGCTTTCGGCAAGAGCCCTCAGGGCCCGTCCATCCCCCTTCATGTGTAACTCCCTACTCTGGAAGGGATCCCTGGGGTCTGGAGGTTCCCCCGATCATAAACTCTTAGACCTGGAGGGACCCACAGATTATCTGGGCTAGTGCTGTCGGTCCCGGCTGCCCCTTAGAGGCAGGTTTAACAAACACCGTTGCTCGGGCTCCCTCCGCATGGGCTGGCTCAGAGTATGTGGGATGAGGCCTGGGCATGGCTGTTTCTGAAAGCCCTCCAAGTGACTCAGATGTGCGCTCGGGGCTGAGAAGCACGGGGCCCACCCTGTGCACATGCGTCTGAGGACACCAGGCCCACAATGGAAAGTCACTTGCTAAAGGTCACACGGCCACGGGGCAGAGCCAGGTAGGACCCCACCTCCAGGTCTCTTTGCTCCACACCGGCATCCCTTCTTGTGGGTGGACTCTGGAGGCACTCCACTTTGGGGTAACTTTAGAAGCTAATTTCTAGACTATTCTGGCTGGGAAACTTCTATCTAAAGGATGCAGTGGCTCAGCTCCCTGTTCCTGTTGCCTTCCTCACCACAGAGTCTGGGAGCAGCCCACCAGACCTCCTGCAGAGGAGGCTGAAAGGCCAGTGCTCTGTGTCAGCTCTGTAGTGAGGGCTGCTGTGTGCCAGGCGCGGGCCGGGGGGGTGGGGGGCCACACCAGCAGGCAGGATGTGGTCCCTCCTCCCGGGAATGTTCACTCGGGGGAGGAGACACAGAACACGAGTCGTCACGTGCAGTCATAGGCACTGTGTTAGTGTGAGCCTGGGGTTGGGGAGCACATAGGAGGCCCTAACCTGTCATGGGCAGTCCAGGAAGGCTTCCTGGAGGAAGTGAGAGATAACTAAGCCTTGAAGGAGTTTGACAGGAAGAAGCAGGAGGGGGAAGAGTGCCAGGGTGAGGGAACAACACGTGCAAAGCCCTGGCTGGCCGATGGGGTGGGCTTTATCCTGAGGGCCCTGGGGAGCCACTCACGGTGCAGGAGGGGCTGTGTGCTGTAGTGTTGGCTCCTGTCATCCTAGATTTTAAGGACTCTCACCAGGGAAGGCTCTGGACCAGTGAAGACACTGGAGGTTTTCCTATTGATAGAGGAGGATCTGAGGCTCAGAGAGGGATGTAACTACAGCCAAGGTCACATAGCCCCAGGTAGAAGCTAGCCCACTCCCACCTGTCACTCCCACATTGTAGGATGGACACATGCTGCGGAGCCCAGAAAACTCACAAGACAGCCAAAATTGGATCTGCAGGTCATTGAAAGGAGAACCAAAAGATGGTTTTGAAATGGCTTCCTGGGACCTCCCTAGCCCTTCCTTGATGCTCTTGATGACAGCCAGGTGCTGGCTCAGAAACCTCAGAAGAGGGCAGCACGCTCTGTGCACCATGCCCCGTGCCCCGTGCCCCATGCAGGCTGGGCCCCAGCAGCCCTTCCCGACTCATCCTCTGCATCTCCTATTCCTGCAATCCACTTTTCCTGTGTTTGTCCTGAGGAGGGAGGAAGGGATTCTGCTTACCCTCATGCTGGCCGCTCAGAGCCATCTGTGCTGAGTTCTCCACATCCTCTGTCACAAAGGAGACGCTGGTTGTCACTCAGGGATCTGATAGCATCCATTACCCCTGTGCATGCGTCAGGTGGTGTGTGTGTGCACGTGTGTGTGCATCTGCACACACGTTGATGAGTGCATCCTTCACCCCTCTGCACCCGTCAGGTGGTGTGTGTGTGCACCTGTGTACATCTGCACGCATGTTGAGTGCGTCCTTCACCCCCTGCACATGTCAGGTGGTGTGTGTGCACGTGTGTGTACATCTGCACACACGATGAGTGCGTCCTTCACCCCTCTGCACGCATCAGGTGGTGTTTGTGGGTGTGGACACACTGATGAGATTCTGGCCCGCACACCTCCACCCTCACCGTGCCTTCCCTGGGAGGCGCCCTGGGAACCACATCTTACATGGAAGTGTGCGTGCTGGGCAGCTCAGCTCTCCCAGTCCTCCACTGGCATGAGCTGTAACTGTAGATGTGGCCACAAGTCTGTGCTGGTCCAACTGCTCGCTTCTGGCCTCCCCCTCAGCAAGGATCAGAAAGACCCAGATAACCCCACAGGATAAATCAAACCACGAGGTGGACATCTGGGTGGAATGGCTGTGATGGCCACCTGCTTCAAGCCAGTAGGAGATAAGATAACCTCTTAAGCCGCCTTTCAGTTTGTGGCTCTGAGTCCCCACGGTGGATTAGCCTGCTCTTAGCACTGAGTCTGAAAGCTGAAAGCTCTGCTCGCAGGGCCCCACTGCCCTCCCACGTGGTGACGGGGACGGAGAGGAGGGAGGAAGGGAAGAAGGGCGTCTCCCTCGCTGCCTTCTTAAGCTAGCATTGCAGAGAGACAGAGAGCCTGCCAGCTGTGCGTGCTGTGTCAGCCTGTCCTCCTCCACTGGTCAGAGCTCTGCGTGCGTGCGTATGTGCCCGGGCAAGAGCAGGTCAGCAGCGGCTACTGGAAAAGTTTGGGAAAGATGAGACATTGTTTCCTATCCTTGGGGAAACCCGCCTTCGCGGTTTGCGGGGGGACAGTCATGGGGCGGCCCACGCAGTGCCCTCTCTCCTGCGGGCGGGGGGTCGGGGTGCAACGGTGTCAGCACCATGATCGCAGTCATGGGCCTCCTTGGTCAGACACATCCTCATGTCCTTGTCTTCAGCGCGTCCTTGGGTGGGAAGATGGAGAGGAGGAGAGGAAGGATGGAGGAGGAGGGCAAATGAAGAGCAAGGGTCCTCTGCATTTAGAGAGGGGGAAGGGAGGCCCAGGGGTCAGTGGTTTCCCAGCACTGTCTGCCTGGGGCAGGAGGCTCCAGCCCCTTCTTGTCCAGCTAGTGGATGCGACCGAGGGGCTGTCAGGCAGACTCCTAGGGTCTGGTTTGGAGCACGTTCCAAGCTGATTTACAGGATGAGCTGGTGACAGCTCTGGGTGCTCCTTCCAGAGCCTCAGTTTCCCCAGTGGCCTCTGTACATCAGCCAGAGAATCCACTATGGACCTTCGTTTTGCTCTGGAGTCTGAGAGCAGCAAGATGCAGACTCTTTCCTAGAGAAGAGGACCACTTCAGACAGCAGTGAGGGAGTGGAAATATGACGGCTTGGGATCTAAGTAAATCGGGCCATCACTGGACAAGACCTAGGACCACAGACCAGCAGCGTCAACTGGGAGCCTGTTAGAAATGCAGAATCTCAGGTCCCCCCCCAGGCCTGCAGAATTGTAATCTGCTGAGTAACAAGGTCCCCGGTGATTCGTGCCCATTAAAGTGTAAGAAATACTGCTCTTGGATAGTAGTTCTCAGAGTGTGTTCCCCCTCCACCCCAGCATCACCTGGGAGCTTGTTAGAAATGCAGAGTCTCAGGCCCCACCCCAGACCGACTGAGTGGGAATCTGCCCTTTGTCGAGGTCCTGGGGGTGTCCGCAGTGTGAGAAGCCCTGCTCCAGGGCATGGCTGGGCCAGCAGCTTGATGCGCCCCTGATTTCTCTTTGCTCCTCTGCCCCTCCAGATCTGCGGGATGGCTCTCACCTGCTGCTTGCACCGGAGGCTCCAGCTGCATTTTTACTAATGGCCAGCCGTGTTCCCTCTGACTGCCGCCCACAAGGACAGGTGCCCAGATCCTACCTGCCAGGCCTGCGGCGTCAGCATCAGCTCACGTAGAAACTCCCCCTACTCTGTGCCCAGCCCCTCAGACCCACCAAGTGCCCAAGACCATGGCCCCTGTGGTTCCCAGCCACGCCAGGGACCCTGGGCCATCTCCCTCCACCCCTGGGCGCTCACTGCCGGAGTCCCAGGGCAGGGGACTGATCTGCCGGGAGACATCAGCCAGAGCCCCTTCCCAGGCCTGGGGCACCTGTGGGCTACAGGAGGGTGAGAGCTGGGCTCCCTGCTCCCTCCCAGCTCCTGAGCCTAGAAGGAAGGGCGGCCAACCTTGACCCCCTGGGACTCCTGCATTCGGCACGTGACCCCCACCGGTGCTGAGCACCCCTCCTCTCACCTCTGCCACAGGCTCTGGGTGCTCTCTCTCCCCTAGGGGAAGTGCGTCAGGGTTGGGCAGTGAGGGTTAGCTCTGCCCCTGGAAGACCCAGCCCTTTGATCGGCCCACCCCCACACCTCACCTGGAAGGGGGTGTCCTGGTGGCCTGGGTCCTTCCTGCAGGGCCTGGGAGGGAGAGAGCTAAGGTGAGGCAGCCGGGCACTGGGGTGGGCAGCGGTGGGGGGAGCTGCCAGGGCAGGGAGCAAGGCGGGGTAAATTGGCTGCACCAGGAACCTGGGACCCACCTAGTGGCCCTCCCCGGGGGGGGTCACCTGGAAGACCATGGCCCCAAGCCCCAGCCTCCAGTAATATGCCCCTCAGGGATCTCCTCGCTGTGGCCCTGTTCTCAGGAATGCCAGGTTTTTAAAACCATCTTCCGCTCTTCAAGTGTGGAGGGTGTAAAAATCCTGATTCGACCAAATCCCAGACCCTGCAGAGTCGGGGCCACTGAGAAGGTGAGGCTCTGAGTGGAGGCTGCTCGGCCTGAGCCTCGCTGTTCCTGGGCCCACGCCCCCTGACCATGTGGCCACCCCCAGGCTGCCTCCAGGGGGCCTCGCTCTGCCTCCTCTTCCATCCATCCCACAGAGAATACAGTCCCTTCCTTTCTTTGCTCCTCTCTTGCATCTCTGAATTAGGCAGGGAATTTTCAGGAAGAACTTCCCAAATACTAAGGAAGAGCAGAAAGAAAATCCTAGAAAATGCAACTGCTGGCAGTTTTCCAAAGAACAGGTATCAGCTCATAAGACAGCAGTGAGGACCCCCTCCGAATGGGGGTTATAGGTGGGCAGCTCGTAACACGAGAACCCACACCAGCTGCCACACCTCCCAGGTCCTGCATTTCCTACCCCGGGGCCTCTTATGTCCCAGCCTTGAGAGAGTGGCCCCTTGTTGTGCTAAGACCAAGGCCAGGAAAGGTTACACCTTGCCCTGACTTGTTCCAGGCCCCAGTCTCAGGACTCAGCTCTTGCTGCCTTGGGTCGGTCCTGGCTGAAGGGTGTCCTCCCTCCCCTCCACGGTCACTGCTGTTCCCATCACAGGCCCAGCTATATAGAACCTGCATGCCCTCAGAACAGGGATCACTCCCACGCACAAACGGCAGACCAGCTTCCCGGGCCAGGTTGCCTCCCTGCCTCGGGGATTCTGCAAGGGCTGTCAGAGCCCTGGCTGGCTTATCTCCTCCGCCTAGAGGGCCCTGGGGTTGCCTGTGCGAATTCATTAAAAGGGGGACCAGCTTTCCAGCAATCCCAGACTGTGCCACGGCCAAAAGAAATAGCGGTATGATAATCCTTGCCGCCCTCCAACTTCCCAGGATTTCTGCAGCTAATCAAAATGACCGTGACGCCACGCTCTCTGCAGGGACAGACATCAGACTGACAAGTCTCAAGTGAGGGCTGGAAAAGAGAGCCATGGTCTTCCTGCCAAGGGGCCTGAGGGAGACAGCGATGGGCAGGGAGGTGCGGTGGCCCTATACCTGTCTGCCCCTTGGGGGGTCTCTTAATTCTTCACTGAGTTCAGCCAGGCTTGTGGAGATGGGGACAGGGCTGATGGGCAGGTGTCACTTGAGAACCTGACTTGTCTGCCCCAGCCGCGTGTCGGGTTAGGCAGGCCTGGCTGAGGGCAGCAGTAGCTGTGATTCCCGCCCTGGGCGTCCTTACACCCAGACTGCTGTTGGAGGGTGGCTGGTCCAGGCTGCAGAGAGCGAGAGAAAGGCCCAGAGCTTTTGGGAACCAAGACCTCCTGGTTCCTCCCAGTGGCCTGGAAGGTGAGACAGGGTTAGAGGAAACGGAGGTCCAGGCTACAGCAGATTCCTGCTCTGGGCACACAGGCTGGAGTGGGAGCCAGGGATGCTGTCCCCGGTGGGGTGTGCCCATCCTGCCTGCGAGGATGCAGATCTGCAGCCAGGACGGTTCCTCCCAGGTCCCTCCTTGGAGGCTGTCACGGTCCTTGGAGAGAGAAGGGCATGCCTGTTGAAAGCCGTCATCAGTTCCGTGTGGGCAAAGGGCCCCCACACACCAAGGTCCAGAAAATAAGCCGGCACTTTGCAGAGGTCTGGACACGGCTGGTGCTGGACTACCATGCAGCTCGGGTCAGCACATCCTGGGCCTGCAACCCAGCTGCCCTTCCCTCCCTCAGCTCACCAGGGCAGCCACCCAAGAGGGAATGACACGTCCCCCCACTCCCCAGGTGACATGTGTGGGGTGCACGGGAATGAAACTCGGCCTCTGGTGAGGGGATGAAGGTTTGTTTAAAATGTTTGTGGCAGTTCTTCTCTTTCTCCCAACCCCTCCCTGACTCCAGGAGCCCCTCAGGTATAGCCCTGTGGGGGTGGGGATCCAGGGCCTTGTGTTCACTGAAGGCCTACTGTGTGCTTAGAATGTGTCAGTCATGTAAATACATTATCTTGTAGTGATGGCAATAGGAGGGTATTACTCCGCCATCCTACAGGTGAAGAGATTAAGGCTCAGAGAAGTTAAGACATTTGCTGGTCATCAGTATTGGCTGTTGTGACACCACCCCAGCAGGATGGAACCAAGGGAAGCTGGGCTGGAGACCCCTCTCCTCAGCGTTGCTCAGTTTTCCATCTCTGTGATAAGCTGTCAGGCTGACCCTCAGGAACGTGTCCCTCAGGGGCATCGCTGAATAGCAGCAGCCTTGGCACCCCCTCGCTGGACAGAACCACCCATTGTGGCCCCAGCACCAGTGCCCTGCACATTTGCAGTCGGAAGAGAAGTCTGGCTTCTTCTAGGCTGACAGCCAGGCCCTCCTGGTGGAGTGGCACAGGCAGTAGGCAGAAGCCCAGGGGTCATCACTCATGGGGACGCCTGGCCTCTCACTTCAGGTGCCAACACTGACACCAAAGTGAGAGCCGCCTCCCTCAGCAATCGGAATCCATAAACAGGGCATGGAATCTCATGCCCTGGTGGAGGCCATTGTCTGGAGGCACAAGGTTTGGCAAGGGAGCCTGAAATGCCTCTCCCTGCCCCATGCTGGGGGCAGGAGGAAAAGCTCAGGTCCCCTGCACTTGCAGAGCCACCCTGGGCAGGGAGGAGGCACCCCGGGGTGGCGATGTTGACCTCTTCCTGACTTGCCCTCCCCTACACTGCCAATGCTGGGGCTCTGGGCAGGCACACCATGTCTCTGTCTCGGGGCCTGGAATCTCATCAGGCCGCTCACCCTGGGCACAGCCATAGGCGTGGCACTGAGGAGGGGTGGGGGGAGATGCCCGGGTGATGTGCCCCTAGGACCATGCTCTACAGCCTGTTTTGGTGTTGGAGTCTGCCATGCCGGGTCCATCTTCACAGTTTCGAGGACAGGAAGTGAAAAAACAGTTACTTTCATCACCGCTTATCCCAGTGCCTGCCTTGAAAACGTGCACCTACTGGCCACTTCAGACCTGGGTAGGGAAAGGGAGGTGAAGGCAGTTTGACTGGCTAAAGAAAACACCCGTCTTCTGTATCACTGCTGGGTGGCACTCACATCCACCGAGGACACCAGTGATCAGGTGTCTAAACCGGAAGTTCTTAAGCTTGAGTGTGAATCGGGATCACCTGGGGCCTTCTTAACACAGACTGCTGGGTCCCACCCCCAGGGCTTCTAATCAGTAGGGTAAGGACAAGAGTTTGCCTTTTTAGCAAGTTCCCGGGTGATGCTGATGCTGCTGGCCTTGGAATCACACTTTGAGAACCACTGCTTTAGACCACACCACAAAGGAGGATACTTTGTCACCTTCCTCTGTATGTCACAGTCCCAGAAGTCACTGTGAGGATGGGATTAAGTGTTGCCACCATGAGCAGTTCCCAGCCAGCCAGGAAGGTGCCTCTCCTGCTGTGTGTTCTGGCAGCACCTGCCCTGGCCTCTGAGCAGGACTCCGTGGAGCTCTCTGAGTGGGTCTGTGACCTCGGCTGGGAGACCCGGAGCTGGGTCCTTCTTCTGGAAGGGACAAGTTTACACCTCCAGCCCCGTTTTCCTGTCACCTCTGTGTGCCTTGGGAGAGCCCCGCTCCATGCTTGTGTCCCCAGCTCTACTTCAGCACAATGCCCAGCCCTGGGCTCCATCCCTCACCTCCCGTGTGCCCCTCCCCTCCTGCTCATGCACCGGAGACACCCCAGGAAAGTGCCACTGGTAACTCCAGTGAGGCCAGATGGCTTCCCGGAACCAGCTGGGAACCACGGGTTTCCATCCAGTCCACGGGTATGGGCCATCACAACAGTCTAGAAACAGAAGTTGCCTTAATGTACTGCATATAGAGAAATTGCTCTAGTTGTATACATGCCCCCTCCTTAGCTGGCCTCCGAGTGGGCCCAGCCTCACGTGCATGCGAGGGGGCGTGACAATAAAGGACGTATCTAGACGGCCTGCTGCTGCTGTTCTCTTCTGCAGGGAAATCCCATCAGTTCATCAAACGTGTGTGGACCTACTCTACGTGCTGGAAACGCACAGTAGTGATGGGGAGCAAGGAGGAGGCAGAGCCCTACTAGGAAACCCACTGACCGTGCTGTTTAGGGTCCTGCTGACCCTTCTTTTGGCAGCTCCGGTGTTTATTTGAACTGACCTGCCTGCCCATGAGTGTCATTAGCTCCTGGCAGTAAGCGAGAGCCAGGTTCAAACAAGTGTGCTTGAGTTGCTCCTCCTAAAGCTCTCTGCCTGTGGTCAGCCAGTGTCCCCACACCACTCACCAGGATGCACGGCCGGCCTCTGTTCACAAGCCTGCGGTTTGCTAGGCCCGCTGCGGGCATCCCCCTGTTCGGGCCGCAGCAGATGCAGAGTGCCGTGAGAGCTCAGGGGCAAGGGGCCCCTCTGGCTGACCATGAGGTTCCCAGCTGAGCATTTCAAACCAAGATACACACTCTTACTGCTACGGGGACCCCCAGACCATCTCACCCCAGAGTGACAGTTTCCTCACCTGGACCAGCTCATTGGTCCTCATTCCCAAATCCAGAGTGGGACCCTTTTTCATCTCAATGCAAAAAAGACTTCAATCTTATAATTCAGAAGAGCCAGGGGCACCAGGTTGCCCAGTGCAGAGATAAAGGAAGTAAATGCTTTGTCTTTTATGACATAAACACTCATTCTATTTCATTCACTATTCTGTCTAGAAAATGTGCTTGGGGTGGGGTGGGGTCAGTGGAGGAACGTGAAGAGACCTGGGAAAGCTGGTCTCTGGGGATCCCAAGACAGAGGGACTAGGAGTCGGGGTGAGGAGGCAGGCTGGGAGCCAGCCACTCACCTGGCAAGAACCTGAAGGGGGCCTGCGCACTTGCTGTGTAAGCAGATCCATCCACCCAAGGAAGTCCCCAGGTGGGGACCCACCTTGCAGAGGAGTCTGCAGCCCCTGGCCAGCTCTGCTGTGTCTCCTCGGCCCCTTAGGTCAAGACCATTCACTG